GGAGGAAACCCAATTCCGAGAAGACTTGAGGAGTGAGACAAAACCTCCGAAAGAAGAAACCCGGAAGCCGGAACCGGAATTCCGACAAGAGAGGAAGATATTCGTCGGTAATTTACCGACATGGATAAAGAAACCAGAGTTTGAGTCGTTTTTCCGACAGTTCGGGCCGATAGAGAATGTGATTCTAATCAAAGGGCATCACGAGGTCGAGAAGAACGCTGGATTTGGGTTCATCATTTACGCTGAGGAGAAGTCTGCCATGAAAGCTGTGGAGTTCGACGGCATCGAATTTCACGGCAGAGTATTGACGGTGAATCTAGACGACGGGAAGAGACTGAAAACTAAGGCTGAGCAGAGAGTAAGATGGGTGCAGGACGGTGAAGAAGACGCGAAAATGTCGAATAAGTCTTCGTGGCATCAAGAAAGAGAAGGGTCTCGAAAGACACTACAGAGGATTCTTGATACCAATGAAGATAATTGGCAAGCTGTTGTTTCAGCTTTCGAGAAGATCAACAAGGTTTGTCATTTATTATTACATCAGTTGTGCTCTGTTTTCGACTTACCTTTTGGTTTGTGTTTGGAACAAACATAGTGGTCATTTGGTAGATGTGTGATTTTCTTGATCTTCCTTATGTTTGGAATAGGTTTGGCTACAATTTGATTTTTGGTATAAGGTACAAAATGTCTCATTGATTCAATGTTTATACTCAGCCTTCTAGGACCGAGTTTGGTTTGATGGTGAAATACTATGGAAGAAGAGGGGATATGCATCGTGCTCGTGAAACTTTTGAGAGGATGCGCGCAAGGGGTATCACACCAACATCTCATATATACACTAGGTATCTTCTTTTGTTACAAATGTCTAGAGTAAAAGGATTGGTATCTTGTTGCTATGGATGTAATGAGTTTGGGATTCCTTAAAGGTTAAAAAGAGAATTTGTTTGATGCAGCCTTATTCACGCTTATGCAGTTGGTAGAGACATGGAAGAAGCACTGTCTTGTGTTCGTAAAATGAAGGAAGAAGGAATTGAGATGAGTTTGGTGACTTATAGTATAATCGTTGGAGGATTCTCTAAAGCGGGAAATGCCGAGTAAGTAAAAAGAAATTAATGTGTCTTGCCTACACCAGCAACCGTTGTTAAATCATTCAAATGCATGTTGTATGTGCTAACTCGATCTGATACTTTGTTGTCTTTGGAAGAGGTGCAGATCACTGGTTTGACGAGGCCAAACGGAAATACAAAACCCTTAATGCCAGTATATATGGAAAAATCATATATGCACAGTGGTAAGCACTGATATGAGTTGTGACTCTACTGGTGTGATTTATTGCTGTCGTCTTTAGAACTAAAAGATCTGTTCTGAACAATTTCTCAGTCAGGTGTGCAACATGGAGCGGGCTGAGGCATTGGTTAGGGAGATGGAAGAAGAAGGTATTGACGCTCCTATTGCCATCTACCACACCATGATGGATGGCTATACAATGGTTGGCGATGAGAAGAAAGGCTTAATTGTTTTCAAAAGACTTAAGGTTAATGACTTTCTTTAGATTTTTGGGTTTTTTTCTTACTTCCTCTTTAGTATCTGAGCAAGTGAAGATAGTTTTGTTTGTTTTGCTTTAGGAATGTGGATTTACTCCCACAGTTGTGACTTATGGGTGCCTGATTAATCTTTACACCAAGGTATAAAGAGTTAACATTTATGAATATTATTTGGATTATGCTCTTGGTACTGTGTCTTGATGCTTGCCTTCTCTTATTAGGTTGGAAAGATTTCAAAAGCTTTGGAAGTTAGTAGAATAATGAAGGAAGAGGGCATTAAGCATAACTTAAAGACCTATTCGATGATGATCAATGGATTTGTTAAACTAAAAGATTGGGCCAATGCGTTTGCTGTATTTGAAGATATGGTTAATGACGGCTTGAAACCGGATGTTATTCTATATAACAATATCATTTCAGCATTCTGCGGAATGGGTAACATGGATCGAGCGATCCAGACTGTGAAGGAAATGCAGAAGCTGAGGCATAGACCAACCACACGGACGTTTATGCCTATCATAAACGGATTTGCGAAATCCGGGGACATGAGGAGATCCTTAGAAGTTTTCGATATGATGAGACGATGCGGGTGTGTTCCAACCGTTCACACTTTCAATGCGTTGATTAATGGTTTAGTTGAGAAACGACAGGTATGTTTCCAGAATCTATGTTGCGATGTTGTCCTATAGGGATTATTTGATGAAATTAATCTCTTGTTTAATTAATTTTGTAGATGGAAAAGGCGGTTGAGATATTAGATGAGATGACATTGGCGGGTGTTAGTGCAAACGAACACACTTACACAAAGATCATGCAAGGCTATGCATCAGTTGGTGATACCGGAAAAGCCTTTGAGTATTTTACTAGACTTCAAAACGAAGGTTTGGAAGTTGACGTATTCACTTACGAGGCTTTACTTAAAGCTTGCTGCAAATCAGGACGGATGCAGAGCGCATTAGCTGTCACGAAAGAAATGAGCACACGGAATATTCCGCGCAATTCCTACGTCTATAACATATTAATCGACGGGTAAAGTACTCATTCTTTTGTCTCCCGTAGTTTTCTTCGCCACTTGTTGCCCCACATTCGAAAATCTCATTATTTTTTCCTCTGGTTTATTGTAGATGGGCACGAAGAGGCGATGTATGGGAAGCCGCGGATTTAATGCAGCAGATGAAGAAAGAAAGTGTTAAACCCGATATTCATACTTACACATCCTTCATTAGCGCATGTTCTAAGGCTGGCGACATGAATGTAAGCTTCCATTCAAAAAGCAAAATCTTGTCTATGTTTTTTTTCTTCGCGGTTTCTTGGTTTTGTAACAAGAAAGGTCATGAAAATGTTTGGCAGAGAGCGACAAAAACAATCGAAGAAATGGAAGCATTAGGAGTGAGACCAAACATCAAGACGTACACGACCTTAATA